GTTTGGACTTCAGTTGCCTAGAGTCTGGAGCTTGGAATTACTACAATTTTTTTTATTTAAATGTGTAACATCAGATATGTCATTCAAATTAAAAGAGTTAATAAGATTCAATAATTCAGTCAAAAATCCTCGTTAGGATCTCTATTTTAACGATTAGCGGGGACAGGAAGAGGGTGACACTCCCCAACCTAGCATAACCCCGTTGGCAGCCCTAAGCAGACCATGTGCTACTCTTTCTGTTTTCTTGAGCTGCAATTGGAAATATTATACTTAATTCATGAAATATCAGTGCATAAGATATCCGCCAGCTCATTAGGTAGACAGTGAGTCATGGACATGTACCAGATAAACGAAACGCTGTCCATTAGGAGGACGTACCTTTGCTTGCCCAGAAAATTAAAATGTCAGTGGAATGAAAGAAACACAAACCCATGGAGCATTAGGATTGTGATCGATTTCTGAATTAAGCGCCAACCGTGCCTAACAACCATGTGCAACTGTTATGAGAGGATGCAACTCGGCTATTCATGATACAAGTGTGCATACCGGACCCAAATTTCTTAATTATGAAATTGTGTTATACAATTAACTTAAACTATTAAATAGAGATCGACTTTTAAAATTTAAGACATGTTTTCTATCTAATAGTTTCATTATACTAGATTACAAATAAAAAATCCTTATATCTTCTAGTGCAAATGTATTGTATAGTTTGTGGTGTATTTTCATGATAAAACGAAGCCAATTTTTAACTCTTATTGTTGAAAAATTAAATAATAACATTGTTTAGAAAGTATTCTACACAAAGTGATATGTATTTGTTCACAAATAACGGCAAAAAAGTCGAATAAAGAGACGATTTCACAAGACGAAGTTAAGGGTGCTTGCCACATCAGTAATATATTAATAAAATAAGATCTACAAGCATCTCACCTCTTTTTCGCATTCTCTCCATATTTTTGCAATCTTTTCTTTGTTTTGGGTTCATCCAAATGCAAATTCTTTCCTTCAAATCTTCATCCTTTAACTCTATTTCTCTCATTTCCCTTGCAAAGATTAACTATAAATTTAGGGTTTTTACTATTTTGGGTACAATTTTACCAAACAATTAAGATTTAGTATTTCTTCTTCCTCTTTTTTTTTTTGTATAAATTTTAAAACCATGGCTATAGGATTTTGATTCCCAAGACAGGGTTATGCTTGGTCCTTGGGTCCGACGGAGTCCACTGGAGGAGGAGCTTGGCAAAAGAGGGGAGATGAGAGAGAAAGATAGGAGATTTTTTTTTTTTGATCGATATTACATAGGACGGGTTTGAACCTTGCCTAAGGGGGGGAGGGGGAGTGCATCTTCAATGTGGTTGGAGACCACTTGGCCCGAAGGACCAGATGCGAGAAAGATAAGAGATTTTGAAAGAAAAAACAACAAAAAGGACATAAAAGATAAACTAGCAAAATAACTTGATTTAAATTTTTTTAAATTAATATATTAACAAGGTGGCGTATCATGTCATTGATTCCATGAATTCCCCCACTTTATTCGTCCTTTGTATTCTTGCCTTTTGCTCACCTATTGCATTATTTTTTATCTTGTGATATACTCTTGTTGTCTTAAAAAATGATATTTTATTAAGAATTTATCTTAAATTAATTATATTTTATATATTTTAATGA